GACCTAGGTCAATTTACCACAATGCCAAGCGGTGATAAATATGTATATATTTTTCACAAAGCGACATGGGCGTTTTCCTGGAAAAGCAGGAATGAATGAACTTTGTTAATTTTTATACTCTCAAGTTTTATTTAGTTATCATTTTATTACTGGCAAAGCATAATGGATATTGGGTAATTACGTATTAACGCAACCAGGCCAAAATTCGCATAAATTGCGAAATTTGGCGACCCTACTTACGGCAACCCTACGTGTTATACGTAGTTTTGTAAAACGAGCATGTGGAGATTCACAAAATTTTCCTGCATTTTCGTGCAAATTTTTGTAATTTATGAGAAAATAGCAGTGTACATGGATAAAGTCAAGAGTGTGCGCAATGCCATTTTTGTGCTATTCTGGGATTTTTTTTAAGTAAAAAATAAGTCGACGTGTATATGGGTATGGCGAATACGATTTTCAATCAGTGCTAAAAGCAATAGCCAAAAGATTTCCGCCGAAAAAATAATTCTGCAACTTATTGAAATTCGAAACAGGAAGGGTTTAATTGCTATTTTATTTTTAAAACAAATAATAAAAATTGTATTAAAATTATCTGTAATTAATAAATGTACATTTTCTTTCTATTCATACTTTTTTACTCAAACTTACAAATAGCGCCAACCTGGTTGCGATAATACGTAAGTACCGGATATTGTGCCTGGTAAAGCAGGCTAAAGACTCTACTGATATTACAATTACTATTTTATTTTATTTCAATTTTACTATCTCATTTTATTACCATCAAGTGTACTTATGCTAATTATAAATTCACCACGCCTACCACAGCGGCTCAAAATTTCAATTCGCCTGATAACATCACGTGACAAACAAAAATAGTTCATTTCAAATTCTTTCAGTTTACTAAAACATTTTGTGCTCAAGATAAAATAATTTCTTTATTTACTATTGGAAGTGAATCCAGGATTAACGCTCTTACTAAATTTATGCTACCACAGTGCTCTCACGACTGTATCTGCTCAGATTACGAATTTTAAATGTTTACGACCACCTTTGACTTTCCCCCCTAGCAAAATCGCCTGATTCAAACTCATTGACTTTTTATTTACGCCTTTGGGTGAGCGATGCAATTGCACCCTATTTAATAAAAACACGGTGAATGGCCGTATAGACTTTTTAGTAAGAACTGATAAAAATTCTTAGAAATTCATACCAGAATTGAAAGGAAAGCAATCGGCAAATCGACAATATTCTCGAGAAAACCGCTAAAAATGCGTTTTACAATGTTCTCGTTCCATCTGTGGCATATCGCTAATTTTGTCTCCAAATATTACCAAATGGGGATTTAGCGACACATCTGGCAACCATGTCATTCCCTTTGCGCGGAAGGTATCTTACCTCTCAGCCGCTGGGCCTTTTGAAACCATGGACCTTATAAGAAATAGACTAACCCAGTGGGCGAGGCGCGCGTCACCGACACGTCCGCAAGAAAGAGTAGGGACGGGACGATCTGGTTTACTTTAACATTGAAACCTATGGCGTTTGTACCACATAACTGTTTTTAATTATTAAATGTGATACGTTGTATAGTGATGGGATTATGAAAGTCACAGTTTTTTCCAAATATGATTTAATAAATCTCATTAAAGCACTTTTTACTGCATTTCGCGCATTTTCTTCATGCGTAATTCTTATACAAACATCTTTACTTTGGTAAAACGGTAAACACTCTAAACACAAAATTTATGTACTTCATTTTGCGTAAAAATAAAAATTAAGTAATATTGATAGTACGTGATGCTTTGAAATAAATAGGGTAAAATTAATTAAGATCTGATATTTTTTTTTTTTTTTAAATTAATGAACATTTTCAGGCAGTGATTTTCAAAACTATAATAACATTACAAAACGATTATTTAGTTGATTATGTCATCATTAAATTATTAATATTAAAGTGGATTATTTATTTTAGTAATTTATAAAATGTGGAGCATAAAATTTTCTGAGTGTAATGAAGGGGAAAAAAAAGATAAAATATTGGGTTGGCAACTAAGTAATTGCGGAGTTTTTTCAGAAAATCAAAGAGAATTTTTTCATGGAACTAAATAACTTTATTCTGTAATGTATTGCCCATTTTGATCAATGACCTTTTGCCATCTTTCAGGCAGCATCATCATCCCACGTTCATAAAACTTCCGGTTTTTATTAGCAAAAAACTGAATCAGGTACGATTTGACATCATCATAAATATTGAAATTTTTACCATTCAAGGAGTTTTGTAAAGATCGAAACAAAAAGTAATCAGATGGTGCAAGGTCAGGACTATATGGTGGATGTTGCAAAACATCCCAACCAAGCTCCAATAATTTTTGCCGAGTGACCAAAGTTGTGTGTGGCCTTGCATTGTCATGATGGAGTACAACACCTTTTCGATTTGTCAATTCGGGCCGCTTTTCTTCAACTGCATAGTTTAATTTCGTTAGTTGTTCAATGTAAACATCAGAATTGATCGTTCGGTTGGGTGGTAAGAGTTCAAAGTAGACAATTCCTCTGTAATCCCACCAAACTGATAACACCTTCTTTTGATGAATATCAGCTTTTGGTGTTGTTTGAGTTGGTTCACCTGGCCTGCTCCACGATCTTTTCCACTTGATATTGTTGTAAACAAGCCATTTTTCATCGACAGTTATCAGTCGTTTTAAAAATGGATCATTTTCATTACGTTTATTTAGCAAATCGCAGCTGTTAATGCGTTGCGTTAAATGCGTTTCCTTCATTTTGTGAGGAACCCGTGTATTGAGTTTTTGAACATAGTCAAGTTGTTTTAAGTGATTTTCAATGGATATATGGGATACATGAAGCTTCTCTGCAATCTCACGTGTTGTACTGTGGCAATCCAAATCGATTATTGCTTTGATTAGGTCGTCATCAACTTCAACTGGAGGACCAGAGCGTTTTTCAACTTTGAGTGAAAAATCACCAGATCGAAATTTGGCAAACTAATTTTGACACTGCCGTTCTTTTAAGGCTTCGAAACCATAAACAGCACATAACTTTTTATGAGCTTGCGATGCCGTTTTCCTTTGCGGAAATAAAAAAGCAAAATATGACGAAAATGTTCCTTTTGATTTTCCATTTTTCAACGAACGCCGAACGAAAACTACGCATTGCCAACTATCAAATAACAAAATGTGTTTTACATTTGTACTACGTCTGCAACTCTAAAAATTCAACTGAAGCCATATATGAAGAATCCGCAATATTAGTTTGCCACCCATAAAATCTAGACGCATCAGATTTTATTATGCCCAAAAGGAACCTTTTTTTTTAACGTTTTGTGTGGTACCTATATTATTGAATATCATGTTCTTCGCCCGTAAACCCACATACATTTGAAAACAGCATATCTTTAGAATTTCCGCACTGGAGAAAAAGTTTATTTCGTACAGTGTTACCATTGCTCGCTTTGAACTCGTTGAATTGTTAATAAAAAATGGTTAAGTTTTACAAAATATGAAATAGATTAAAAAATTCGAAATTTTACCGTCCATGTTCGGGTGGAGGATTACATTATTCAAAATGTGATGGCTCTAGATTCCGTCGTTTTTGTCACAGTGCGAGAAACATACATGTATTCATGCAGATTCTTCATTATTTAATTTCTTTAAATATAATACAGGGCGGTAATATATGGTAACAACAATTTGCAAGGAGACACGGACATTTATAGTGAAAAAGGGCAAAATGCCGTTTCGAGCTAATAAAGTAAATTAACAGCAAATTAAAAAAAATATTATGCAGAACTAAAAATAAATTAAAATACAATCACTATAAAATACAAGCAAAATTAATTATTACGGTTAAATACAATTTTACTTTTAGAATTAAATGTATAAAAATTATTAAGGAGTCAAAAGTGTTATGATGTATTACGAAATATAATTGAAATAAAATTCCTTTATAGAAATCGTGCTATAATATTCATCTATAATTTTAAAAAAGCAGCACAATTTAGAATTTTAAACAAAACTTTCAAAAATTCGTTTTTAAATATTTTAGTATTTTTACTTATTTACACCAATAAAAAGCATAAAAATTAAAAGAGAAAACTGCTTGTTTGAAATTTTCTATTAGTTCAGATTTAGAATATTATTTTCTAAAAGAAATAATTACAAATTTCCTTACAACATAGGAAAAGGTAAAAAAATATCTAGTCCTGAAAGCATGCAATAGCTTTATAATTATTTGGAACATTAATTATGCTTGATAAATATGCTAAATTTTTAAAAATCACACTCAATTTCAAAAATAAATATATGGAGAAATTCTAATTTGTGAAATGAGGCGCTACAACCAGCTTTTTCTTGACAATTATACACGCTGCAATAGGCAACCACTGTTAAATTTCGGCAAGTCGTCCCTACTCCTTCGAATGTGATCAAGGTGACAGCCGGGAACGCGTCAGACGAGGGAGAAAACCCGAGAAAACCCATTTGGGTTAGTCTATTTCTTATACGGTCCATGTTTGAAACAGTATGAGGTATGAATTCAGAGAGATACTTTCCCCGCAAAGCTTTAGGAAGTCGCATTACTTGAAAGGAGAAATTACTGTACGCTGGATCACCTCCGTACGTACGTTCAGACTTCCAAAAAACTCCTTTTTGAATCCATTTTACAATCCTTTATTCAATCCGTACATATAAACTTCATACAAAAAAAATCATCCAAATGGAATCGGAACGTCACAATGGGTATTTCCGTTGAAATATGATACTCGAAATTTTTCACAATTACAACAAAGGCAAGTTTATTTCGAACAAGGAAGTAAAAGTATTGTAGAGGGTAGACAGGGTATCCGGGGTTATACTCGAGAATATTTTTTTTTTTTCTTTTTAATTGGAGGTAAAAATTAAGGGTCAAACTTATACACAAGTGCAATTTATGCATTCGAGGATACGATATTAAAATTTTTTTAATGAATTTATTGATTTATTTTTTTATAGGTTCGAAGACGGCTACCCCAAATTCGTTCTTCCACGCTTCGGAAAGATCGCATGTCCAGGCCTCTTTCCACATCTTTCCTAGAAACTGTCAGAGCGTACGGAAGCGGTGATAGTCACACAGCTGCCGTGTATGCAGGTAGACACTTCAGCAGAAAAGAAATACCTCTGTGTACACCTGATGAACTGTTAGACATTATTCGGGAGCCTTCAGGATATTATTCACTACCTACAGATCCTTGGAATGAAGTATATCCTGGTGTATATCTGAGTGATGCGTAAGTACTTAATCTTAAAATTATCAACTTTTAAAATGAACTTTTTTTCCGAAGTTACTCTTCAGTCAGATTTAAAGTCACTTTTTCTACCAGCGAAGCAGTCTGATATTATTGTTATATTTTTATTTTCTGAAGATAAAATTTGATGTTTGAAATTCTGTAAATGAATTCATTAGTCCAAAGGGACAATTTGCCTTGAAGGACTATTAATTTCGTTTTGGCAATTTTGCGTCGAAAACTTTAAAAGACTGTATGTCTTTTCAAATCGTTGCCACCATATATTATCGCCCTGTCTTATATTCAAAGAAATTAAAAAATGAAAAATCTGCATAAATGCATGTATGTTTTTCGCATAACAACGACGGTACCTAGAGCCATTAAAATTTGAATAACGTAATCTTCCATAGAATATGGGCGTGTGGAAGCCTTAATTTGTTTTATTATCGATATCAGATTTTGTAACACTTCAACGAATTTTTGATTAAAAAACTAAACAATTTCAAAGCGAGCAATGGCAACTGACAAAAAAACTTTTATCTCCGCGCGCGAGATCTGTATCGGAAATTCTAAAGACATGCTCATTTTTAAATTAATTTGCGATATGCGTGTTGAACTGAATTTATAATGGAGACGTAGTATGATGTTTTATAAATAAAGGAACACACAAACGTTAAAAACCACCCTTTGACGTAATTAAATCTAAAAGTTCAGATTTTTTGTCTTATTATTTACTAGGTTCACTTTTTTTTTTTTTTTTTTTTTTTTTTTTTTTTTTTTGTCGTCGTCTTATTTTTTAGGTTTGCCTGGAGTGACATGTATATTTAATTAAGCAGAGACAGACTTCTAAATTCACTTAAAAAGGTTGAACGTAAAATAATGCTAAAAAAAATTGAATCTTAAACATTTAGAGATAACTGCTACCACAGTGCATGGTTTCCATAACTCCTATTCATTTGACGAAAATTTCTTTTCATGATAATTCTTTTAAAATTTTGCTTATCTTTTAATTAATTTTTTCCTTTAAGTGTTTTGAACACATTTCTGCAGGAAAATATATTTTTACTTAGACTAATTGGGGGGGGGGCAAATTGTTATTCTAAACTGAGGAAAGTTATATAAGGCCTTAGAAGAAGAATAAAGAAGAATCTTTCTGTAATTACAGTAATGGTGCAAATATTTATAAAAGTATTAATTATTATAAGTTGTATCAATTAAATGCATTATAAATTTATTACAGAGGCATTTTTTGTACGGTTATAAGCCGTTGAAGAGTACGCTTGTTGCTTTAATATTGTTCAGTCTGCTAAAGATTGTACAGTTTTAATTTGAATGATAAATTTAAATCTTATCTCAAAGTGACTGATAACACTTTTAGAATTGTCTGTTTCCTAAATGCCTAGGAAGTCATCTTATATTTCAAGCAAATGACAAAACTTACCAAATCGCGTGGGTGATAGTGTGGATAGTAACGTAACATGCTATCATAGGAAGAAAGATCACATTAAGAAAGCGTTTCTAATGTCAGCAATTCTGATATTTTGGTTTTTATTTTGCACGATTTATTTATTTATTTATTTATTTATTTTTTTTTGCCGCATTTTGTTTCAGCCTTTATTCAAAGGTTTTTTTTTTTTTTTTCCTTTAAAATTTGTTTCAGAATTTTCGAAGCAGAATCTCAAATAAATTAATTACTTATACAGGATTCATTAAGGGAGTATTTTTATTTTCATTGAGTACATTACTGTGTCTTTTAGCATCATGATGTTGTTGTGCACTAAAATAACCAAGAATAACAGGTTTGAAACTACTATATAGAACGGTTAGATTAAGACAAAGAAATGCGGTAGTTATCTGCCATGGGAAGGGACGGTTTCGTGGAGGACCTTTTAAAGAAATTAGCTTAGTAACCACGTTACACCTGGGGAAAACCTGGGGAAGTTCCCATGCAGTCAACACGTACGCTGGGATTCAAGCCAGGCTGCAGTACCAGTATTACCGCTCGCCGCTCATTCAATTAATTCAGTTCTCACTTCGCGGCAAGCTAAAATACATAAAAACTCAAAACATCTTCATTAAAAATTGTAAAAAAGAAACACATAAAACACTAAATACAGTTAAAACAGTTAAAAAAAGTTTACAATTAAAATTAGAGTTTCTACGCAAAAGCAAGCAATTCGGTCAACAGGGAAGAAGGTAGTTTCAAAACTGGAAGTTACTTTTGGTCCCATTTGGTAAAAAAGACATTGCAGATGCAGAAAGTAACTTAATTCACTATTCTACTGAATTTTAAATGTAAAAAAATTTCGGTTCGTTAGGCTTAACTCGCAATTTAAACTTTAAAATTGTTGATAATTCTACAATTACTGCATGTAGATAAACTAAAGACATAAAAATACCTTAGCTGGAACATAAGAAAAACATAATTCAATCACTATTAAAGCAAAAAATGCACAATTTACCAACATGTAAGAATAAAAAAATCTGAGCTTTCCGAATCGGGTAACAGAGGGGGTATCTCTCTCTACACATATTATTTATATACTTTTGGTGCAACCGATGCCAACCAAATAGGGAGGTGCACAACTCCATGTTATAGCAGGATCATGTACAAAATTTAAACTTTCTGAGGCTATTTATTTTTGAGTTATGCGAGTTATATACGTACGTCATGAAACAGATACAGATGTCATGAAAAAAAACTTTTCTGAATCCATTTTAAATCCATTTTATAAGTTTTTTTGGGAAAAAGAGAGATCTTTATTATGTCCGTAAGTACAGATGTCACGCAGATCTGTCCGTACACGTACAGATGTCACGCATAATCATTCAAATGGATTCAAGAGCAGTCAAAATGGATATTTTCGTTGAAATACGATACCCGAAATTTTTCGCGATTACAATACTTCCTTTACTTCATACAAGGAAGCAGCGAGAAATTTCAAACCCACTCTCAAATTTAAAATGCGTATATTTTTTGTATTATGCTTCATGTTTCTCATATCGCACATCTGATACATTTAGAGTTATTATGCACGTATATAAAACTATAGCTGCTGTAAAACTTTGCTCTATTTTCTGGTTTATTTCTTCCGTAGCCCTACAGCCATGTGCACATCTTTGTTGAAACGTATGGGTATCACTCATGTCTTAAATGCAGCTCAAGGGAAGGAGAAAAGCTGTGGACAAGTTAACACCTGGTCAGGGTTTTATTCGCAGTCTGGTATTCAGTTTCTTGGAGTTCCTGCTTTTGACAATGTCGTCTTCCGAATTTATCCATACTTTGAGGAAGCGTCACAGTTCATTCAGGATGCTCTCAAAACAGGAGGTGAGTTCTTTAATAATTGAAATACCTTTCCACTTTTTAGGACCATTATAGTTTGCATTCATGAAAACTTGAGAAATAGATACAAAATGTATCTGTTTGTGAAATAATTTAGAGTTCAAATCTAAATACCGTAGCTGATTTGGAAGACAAAATGAAATGCCATCATATTATGCAAGACCTTTCTGCATACAAAATCATATAATCTGGAATGCAACAAAGATTTAATTACAAATGAATAGATAAGCACTTTTGGGCCAACAGGGATCAAGAACCTATCTGAGAGGGAAGTGTGTAGACTGATAAGGATAAAGGCTGATAAGGCGAGATGAGAGACACTGGTTGGGAGAATGACATGACAGTTTGATAAGTGATTAAGTATTAGAACATAATTATTTGTTTGTAACGAAATTTCTTTAAGTATTAGTTAAATTTAGGACTCTTAACTTTCATAACTTTAGAAATTACATAAAAAAACAAGTAAAAGATTTTCTAACACTTAATCTCTTAATCAGATTGTGTCTCTTACCTCAACTGCGCCGTCGTTTCCCTACAACCCCTTCATATTCCTGATCCTTGCTGGACCACTAAGGATCAGGAATCAGGAATATGAATATTTCTATCTATATGAAAATTATCTACACATTTTGTTAGGATCGGAGTCGTAAATATTGTAATAAGAGTTCGATTCTACACTCTTCAAATACATGCAATACGGAATTTCACCCTCTGTCACAGATTCTCAACATTGGCGACGCAAGTTCATTCCAGGACTGTTTATGAAACTTTGACCAAACGAGTCAAGGAGTCATCATAAGTTCGTAGTTATCATTAAGACGTTCTTAACGTATAATACCTTCTTATTAAGGAAGCTAATGGGTCAAACTTGATTTCTCAGAATCCACAAAAGTTCAGCATTTTGCTGGCTACGTTCTTCACCAAATTTCCTGTGACAAAAACTTATTTGCAGGCTGAGATGTTTAAGTCGAGAAGCGTTTTACATTAAAAATTTAAGGGCGACATTTCCCCAGATGGCCTTATAATGCTCAGTGTTGTTGTACCTATAATATATTTAAAATATCAGCAATTTAAAATAATGCCACGGAAAATGATAAATCTGTGACCCTACATGAGTCTTTTCAAATGTATTGTTGCTTGCTTATGGGTTTGTAATTGATGAAATGCACAAGTCCGATAATAAGTTAATAAAATTTATTCTTATAAAAAGAAATATAGCAGAGCCCTGATATTTTCCCCAGAGATATATTCGTACAAGTGTTCACAATATCACGCAATATAATCAATAGTTATACTTCAAAGTTCTAAAAGGGTTATATAAAATGCAATGCAAAGAGCATGGAAAGAGAAAAACTCTGATATATCAGTTCACGCGAAACTAAAAAACTCGCAACAACAGTAACTAAGCAACTGAATTCAGACGCTCTCTCTCCGGCCTTTTATAGCTTTCAACCGGTCGCGAGATATTTCTACCACTTTCTGTTCCTCGAAATTACTAAAAAGCAATAAGAGGATGGAATTACGGTTACAGCTAACATAGTGGTAAAATACATTTATTCAGTTTCAATACAAATTACCGAGATAACCATTTACTCAATGTTAAATGCACGTGCCCCTGTATTTTTACTTTTCCAATATAACATTCTCTAATTTTGTCTCCAGCTGCATAGCACGGGGAATGCAACAATATTAATTATAAATCTACTAAAATTAGCTATCTAAATACAAAATTCGTAACAATATGAAGGGATATTTCGAGTTTTTTGTTCCTTCCAGAAAAGTATCTTACCTTATTTCGAAGAAGGACAATGATCTATTAATTATTTGGAAAAAGGACGACGATATATTAATTTCTTCCCTAGGAATGATGTTTTCTGTCAAAAGATGACTTTTATAAAAATATGTTAGAAGGACACAAACTAAGTATCCGGAAACAAACATTTCTGATTACTTTTTCGCTAAATAAGAGGCAATTGGCTTAACACGTGACTAGAGGCTTTTTGCTATACGAAATTCAAATTCATTTGTGTTCTTTCCATATAAAGCTGAACCTTCGCCTTCAAGCATTGCTTCTAAAATATTTTCTGAGTTAATTTTAGTTTTACTTGAGATTTTTTTTTTTGTGTTTAATTTACGTATTAGTAAAATCCAGCAACTATGACGAATCCTGTCGGGAACGTTTCTACACAAAGACGAAGCCGTTTCGTACAATCATTATGTCCATTTGAGAAATAGAAAATTGATCTTTTTTTATTCCAGTCACTTAATACTCATTGAGTGTTATAACAAATTTTCATTTAGCAGCTAGGTGTTTTTCGTGTAATTTTCAACAATTTGTTTTTCGCAATATGCTTTCGCAAAAGCAAACGAACTTCAGATTTAAGCATCTTTTTCAACTTCATATATTTAGGAATGATTTTACCTATAGAGATAGAAGACATTCGCGGTTCTGATGCAATGGATCTTTGAGTTGGTGGATTTCTTTCAGGGATCAGATACTTCACTTTCTTGATATTTATCCGGGTCCCAAAGTCTTAGCATGCAATGTTTTTTCGACTAGATGCTTTTCCTTTCAAATTTAATGCTTTAAAAGCACCTTTCTCCCAAACGTAATAACCTAGATTTTTACACCGCTTTACAATTTTCTAATACGAATATCCAGAATCCCAAAATCTTTACTTCGAAATACTTTTCTTCGAAAAGTAGTCTAACAGTTTCAGGAGACATTTTCAAAGTAAATCTCTTATTCTGCATTTGAATTAAACTAAAACGCTAACGGATGTTTATATGGAAAATCCCAAATCTTTACCTCAAAGTCTTAACAAGAACGTTTACATAGAAAATGGTTTCCATACAGTGCAAACGATCTTCTGGTATTCCCTTTATAGGTATTTGAATTCTTTTAACTGATTTTAGAGAGTATTATAAGGATAACGTTTTGTAATGGAAGGTTTTACGTATGTAACTTAGTTATAATCAGTTCAGTCTAGTTTTGCTAAACGTTCATTCATATAATGTATATTAATTTAATTCAGTTACCTTGCATTTATAGATAAGAAATAAAAATTACTTTGTATTTATAAATAAGAAAAATAAAAAGTTTACAGCTCAAATTCGAGTTATGTGGTATATCTTTAGGCTAGTTATGATTCTGTGCAGTAAAATTAAGATGAAACTGACTATGTACATTAAGATTGCGTTCTTAAATTGCGTCATTCAATGCAGTTGTAAAAACCAAAAAATTATGTTCTCGATATGACAATTTATATGGTTAGAAACGTTCAAAGACATTGCCAGGAGATGATAAGTTTTATCTGTAGCTCTATTTGGTTTAAGATTCTGTACACCCTCATACATTAAATCCAAAAGAAAGAGAGTTACTGATAAAATTATAAATAATCTTCGCCTATTTCCCGAAGAATTCATGAAAAATTTGTGATGATATTGAAAATTACATATAAATGTGTTTATACATTGAATTTCTATAAACAGCACCTTTTAAACATTATAGGATATTCTTGTAAGATTCAGTCACAGACCGACCGGAAACACTGATTTTAACAATTCTTTCCTCATTACGATTGATGGAAATGTGATTAGGAATAGGATTATCCTCCTCTGACAGTGGGCTGCTTTGTAAACACGGATGACATTCAAATGTCGTCTTATGGCTCATAGTATTCCTGCAGAATATTATCTTCAACATAAGTCCCTCTAGACGATTTCTACATTTTCAATAAAAGTGAACAAAGATTTGTTCTCCTAGGTTTGCCATTTCACAATGCGCATCTCCACTAACACTGATTGATCCCCCTCCCCCAAATTTCAATGACGTCATCCCAAGTACCTTCATCTGCTGTCAGTACTAGATTAGTGCCCAACGAATTGGTGTTTAAAGGAAAACATTAGTCCGGGAATTAAACAAACAGCCTATGTATTTTATAACTAAACTTCAAAATTAGCATTTTCTGGAATTCTGTAAATCATTTGTTTATTTTTCAGGTAAAGTCCTCGTGCACTGTCGTGCTGGAATCAGTAGATCAGCGACACTTGTGTGCGCATATCTTATGCTGAAAGAAGGCTTCAGTGTTCAAGAGGCAGTGAAAGCAGTTCGCAAGCACAGAGCTATCATTCCGAACGATGGATTTCTTCAACAATTATGCGATCTCAATGACAAACTTAAACGCAAAAATAATATTTGACGCACTTCAAGAATAAAATAATTCCTCTTTCGACCAATTTATCATAAATTAACGACACTGAGAAATTTTTGTTATTGGAGGAAAAGATGAGTGCTGAGGATAAAAAAAAAATGAACATTAGTATAATTACAGTGCATTTTTCCAGAATGATACGTGCATATGCGAAGAAATCAGTGAAAGCCAATCATTTGTTTTATTTTCCATTATGTTAAAAAAACCAATCATTTCAATTGTATTTTAGAATTTCTTAACCTATGCAGATATCTAACTCGCGATCAAACAATCATAAAATTTATTACTGATTGAATGCCTAAAAGCTGCAGAATTTGTCTCAGGTTCCGTTCTAAGCAGCCAAACGAGCTAATTGCGTGGAATATCATGGTTTTCTTCGTATTTAATGGCAGGGTAGTTTTCTTTAGAATATCATCCAAAAAAACATTTTTTTTTTAAAATTTGCGATGGATTAACAAAAAGTTAAAAATAACTAAAATCTTATAAACAGAAGTTACAAACAATAGAACTAAGAACAAAAAGGCCGAAATCTTTACCTAAAGAGCGTTATTAATTCCCAGTATCTCGACTCTTCTGTAAAACCACGAAGAGCCTCACATCGGAGTAGGTGACACCAGTCCATTTCTTCTCCAGAATCACAAAGTGGGCAAATAGAATCGCTTGAAATGCATGTATAGTGCAGGTGGACGGCAAGGCAATTTTAAGGCTATAAGATAAGATATTAGATGTAAATAATTTTTTTTAAAAAACAGTTTAATCCTTCAATATGAAATGGATATATTTGGATATTGTAGTGAGCTGGCACGTTTTCTTGCAAGAAAGTCCGCTTGTTCATTGTTCCAAAGGCCACAATGGCCAGGCACCCACTGGAGAACGATTTGTTCCCTCTCACTTTAAAGTGAGAATTCTCAGGAACTCTTGACAATATAAAATTTCAGGTATTAATGGGTGTTAAACAGAACTAATTGATTTAATGGCTGAGCGAGAATCAGAAAAAGAAATATGATTCCCTTTCGCCATTACTTGATAGCCTTCAGAGGCTTCGCCATATAGTAATAAATAAGTAAGTAAAAATTAATATTATCTAAAAACTAGTTCCGAACTCCTAACGGACGTCAGATGAAATGTCGCTGTGTCTGAAATTAACTATATAGTCTTGGAAAGGCTTAAAATAAACCTTTCTGTTTGAGCACGAACTTGACTATAAATGTACTTCCTTGTGGTAATAGGATCAACCACAAATTGTGACCATGCAACTGAACTAACAGTGAAATTCAAATTTAAAAGTAGTCAAAGACTATACAGTTAAATTAAGCTTATGCTGGCTCAAACACTCTAACCAGAATACAAAGTCTAAATGTTGGCAGCAATTAACAGAAAGTCGAACAAATTACAAATTTATCAATGCTTACGTAACGTGGTCACAGGGGGAACAAACTCTCTCGGTCCAATCCAAAAACCTCATTAAATATTCTCTAACTCATTTACATTTCTGGTGAGAAAAGAGTAAGGAGAAGTTATAGCAAGGTCTAAAATTATGAATAAATGATTAATTAAAATAATAATCTTATAACCTATGGAGTTTTTTCTTCAAAAGGAAAAAAATGGATAAGCGTTAGATTTTTTCTTAAAAAATTAAACATATGATCTAAAATAAGTTTTATTGTTTATATCATCGTAAAGTGCATAACTTTATTTGCGGTATGTACAGTTCTCATTCCGATCAGTCTCTTCTGAGGAACACACGATTTCGTTGTCATTTTCACTATCGTTATTGAAAACGTTTTTTCCCACTGTAAATAGTACCTACTTTCAAATGATAGATATGAAAAGCCCTTTGCTTTTAAATTTTAACGTAAAATGTCCTGGGGCACTTTTAGACATTGACCATATTCACATGAACATTCAGGCGATCGATGCTGTTTTGGTAAACGGAATGCTGCCTACAATGCCATCAATGTATGTTCATGTACGATGTATTTTTTTTAACAAACAAGCTGAAAAACAAAAATGCTTGTGAAATTAATGGTTTATTACACAGGTCAAGATTAATTCCTCATCTATCTTCTTGAAAATCAAGATGCGGATATTAACAAGTGCATGCGGTGTTTCATTAGTTCTATTCTGCGCATTCATAAAATACATTTTAAGGTCCTGTAATCATCTTAACGTATATAAAGGTTATCTTAATCATCCGAAGTAGAGGAAAATGCTATCTCTTCTAACATTATTTGTTTCCCTAGAAAGTTCTGAACGAAGGCACTTCTCTTTAGATAGATAACCTTTGCTCAAATGGGCTAATAATATACAAATAAATCAATATTTAAGCTAATAATGTAGCAAATAAGACTGATAAATATCTGAAAGAATATTAGAAAAATGGTCACTGTAGTTGATAACCGTGCTGTGATTATGGAGGCTACTGTAGTAAGAAATGATTTTTTTATTTTCACATTTTATCAGTTTGGAAAAGGTAAAGGTACCCTTAAAGTAGAGATTAGAGAAGAACGTATGATTTAGGAAAAGAATCACAAGCAGATTTATGGTAAACTTCTTCATGTTATAGCATCACCTAATGCTTTTCTTCCCGAGTGAAAGAAGTTTCTATCGATGGTTGTTTTGGTTCCGCCAGATTAAGGCAGAAGGGCTTTTTTACCTTTTAGATTGGATATACCATTGGTGGAGGGAAGTAAAAGAAAAGAGAGCAGATAGAAAGTTGTTTGCGTAAAAACGCATCAGCATCTATCTAACTTTTCCTGATACGAATTTTTAAAATGTACTCATTTTTTTCTGAATAATTTTATTAACAAATTAATGAAAAAAAATCAAAAAAGCAATTAAATTTATTTTCCACACCCGGGTGTCAGAGGACTGAAATACTTCAAGATGGCAACATACTTAAACTCGAAAAATTGGCCACTCAGCATGTAATTAGTTGTGTTAAGTTTGAAGATATATAACTTTGTTTTGGTTCAGTTGATTATGCTTTCGAAAAATCGCAAAGCATTGAAACGCATATGCGATTGCATAAATATTGCATGCAAAATCTCAGACAAGTTGAAGTAATTCTCAGCTGCCATCCTCGTCACCAGCACCAGCCCCTTTATGCTCTGTACCTGCAATGAATTAATTTTATCTTAAGTTAGTTTTTTCGGCTTCTCTTATTCCATGTATATACTTATCTCCTTGAACTGTAAACCCTGAATTATGAACCTTGAATTATGTATTTTGCCTTATTTTATTGTTTTCACTGTTTTGCCTTTTTTTATTTTATGTATTATTTCGCTTTTTAGTATTTTACTTCTTATTATTTTTAGTATTGATATTTAGTATTTAGCCCTATTTTAAATATTATTTTTACTGTTTTATCAGTCACTCTGTTAATTGCTCATATATTGCACTGTACTCATTTATTGTTCACGTTGTAGATGCCTTTTGTAACCACCTATCTATAACTCTGTAAATGTGTAATGAAATTGTTCTTCTCACCCGCAATGCACCCTTCTTCCATCACTGCACTATCGTCTCGTCCAGAATATGTTTGTACTGCCCCCAGCACTCGTCTTGAGCACAATATGTACAATAAGTGTGTTGATCAAGTTGATCAAGTTGATCATGTTGATCAAGTTATTTCCGTCAGCGAGGATACCTGGCCGATATGCTAATTGTCCCAGTGGACCGGCTGCCTTGCTGTCAGTGGAAAGAAAGGAAAGAAAGTTGATTATGTAAAAGCACTCTAAGGCTATTTAACTAAGGGAAGATATGCCTTCGTGGAGGTCTTTCTAAGAGAAACTGGCTCGTATGCTCGTTAAACATGTAGAAAAACTTAAAAACACTTAAGTAGGCAGCCTGTTCTTCTGGAATTGAACCGAGATCGCACTACCAGTATTCAGCGACTTTACTGCTGGCCGACTGATAGACTTAAAATTTATAATCACGTATAAAAATCATAATTAATTATTAATATGATTTAGAATCAGTGCAATTTAAGCAAAACCAAATTTTGTTTTATGGTCACATTTGTGAACCGAAACATTATCAAACAGAGTGCATTCAAGGTACAGTTGATTGTAATTCTCCAGAAAGTCAGTTTAATATTGCTGATATATTTGTCGGAGCATTCTTTTCATATAATGTTTTAAATTCATCCTATAACACTTTATATAAGCATTCACAAATTCTTTTACATTGAAACTTTTAATTTTATCAATGAGTTTCCAACTTGTGCATTTCGTATGCAATTTTAAACATCCAACCTATAAATATAGCACATATCCATTCATTTTTTACAAGGTGCAAGTTAGAACGCAAGCGAATATAAATATTAAGTTCAAAATTATCATTTGAAAATATATATTTTAATAATGTATATCGTTATATATTAAGTTACGCCCATTTAATTTATTAGGATTAAATAGCTTGAAGAAACATAAGGAACGAAACTGACTTTATATTTTTTTAATGTGTGTACTTTGATTATGGTTTAAAATGGTTTTGAAACTTTTTGTGTAACCAAAACGCTTGGGAACTATTTGTTTTAATGAGCAAAATGCATAAAATATTTTCACTGTCATGCGTTTTCTAAATGTGAAGTTTTCTTTTGTGTTATCGTTGTATAAATTTATGAAACAGTATCTGATTTTTCGATAGTAACATTCATTGAAGAATGTGTAGCTGTAAATGACATCTAACAGCTATTTATGTTTATAAAATATTTTTCATTGTATACCGAAATTTCAACATACGTGAACTGTTTCTATAATGTAGAACTGATGCATGAATTTTATTACAGATAAAAAATGAGCATTATAAAATCATTGTATTTGTAAATAGTTCTTTTAATTATTTTATGTGTAAATATTTAATTATTATATGCACAATCTTTCAATTATTATATGCATAATCATATAAATAAATACATTTAAGAAAATATTTCTGCGCATGAAAAATGAATTTTTAGATATTTTAAGCTTATACAATTAATTGCATTGTTTCTTACATATACAGAAGGTGTTCTCACATTTTTGTAACGATTTTGATTTTCTCCACGAATTTATATTAATTAATATTAATTTTAAAATACGAACGTAACTAGTATCAAATTGGAATATGGTTTAATTATCGTCTGCAGCATTAAAAATATTCTTTTCTTAAAAATATTTCTGAAAAATAAACAATGGATCGAAAGCTATACCTTTGCGCTGTCCGTAGAGAAATACTCTACTGATAATAAGTATTAAGGTATAAAGGAAAGCTTTTCTAAAGGTTTTATAGTTATTACTAAAACATCTTATAACGAAAAATTTAAAATAAGGAAAGTAGGAAAAAATATCAAAATTAATTCGGATTACCATCAGAAATCTGTTTTAACACCTGTTTTTAAAGAAGAAATTCCATTTCTTTATTCAAACAATCTTCACTGTGTTAGATTCCATCAGGATAAAGCTTCCTCTAAATCTACTGCTCTAGTTTTTTAACAAAAATGAGAAATGAAACAGAAATTGAAGCTATTCCTTTTAAATGCATCCAAGTCCCCTGATGTGTCTCCTATGGATTACTGTGCATCTGGACTTTTAAAACAAGCTCTGCATAAGAGGCATCCCAACACATTAGATGGACTCTGGAAGATTGTTGAAGGAGGAGTGGAATAAAATCAATCTTGATATTTTAAGAAAAGGACTTTTATCTTGGAAATCCAGCTGTAATATGATATTTCAACAAAAGGGCTATTAGGTTGAATATATTAGAGAATAAAATTCGAAGGTTTCTTTATATATAAATCTTTGCAAAATCGTTACAAAAATGTTTAAACACCCTCTGTAATAAACATTTAGATGTTTTAAAAGTAACAAAGTCATAAATATATCAGAAGCAGCAGGTTTCATCTTCCCCACACGGAAAGCTGAAAGAGACCTATGGAAATCAAATGAACCAGTTTGATTTCCAAAAATATACTACCAGTCGATAAAAACGAATGGACGAGTTTAGCAATTTTGATCATGCATAAAGCTTAATTTCTTATGTCCGAAATGCTGGACCTCGATGAAACACTATGGTGTGGTGTGGTGTATTTAATTATGGCAAAGCACACGAGGGCTATCTGCCTAAAGGGAGGGATGCCTTTCGTGGAGGACTTTCTAAGGGAAACTGGCTCGTATACACGTTACACATGGGGAAAACCACGAAAACGCCCATGCAGCCAGCCGATGAAACACTATGAGGAACCATTAAGAGATGTAAATACAGTAATGAATAATTAAAATAAAATTAAACATAAATGAAATATTTATACATATTAATAATAATAATAATATACTAATGTATATATGATTATATTTGTCCACGGCTATTTTAATAACATGAACCGAATGATAACATTAAACACTGATTTATTTATTTTATATTATTCTTCGAAATAGCAATAGAATTTAACCAGTTTAACACAAATGAAACAAGAACACATATAAATAAGTACTTTCACAGAACTTTCATTAGGAAAATGCAAAATTCTTTTATGAACTCTTCATAATGTTTTTAACGCTACAGTTCATTTATGAATTGTTCAAAACCATTTCTGGAAATCATTTATTCGATGTTAAACCTCTAATCTTAATAGAAGAGCATCCCTCTTTCAGTGAAAGAGAATACGCAAACAAAAAATTTTAAATTACCTTAATTGGGGGTAGATGTTTCCAGAGGAATTTTTTAAAGGATCGAAGGGGACGGGGAATTCTAGCAGAATTTTGTGCAGTCACGTACGGCAGACACTATGCTACTGAAATTTGGCGTATACCTTAAGTTACTGATCCTAGGCTATACTGTCAATGGCGCATTACTGGATATTGTGCTTTATACCAGGAAAATCAAAACTGGATTATAGTAAAGTGCAAATGTCGTTACGTTTTGCAAAGTGTAGTTCTAATAACGATAAAATGAAGTTACAGATTATGAGATTAAGAAACTACTGTATTTTTAATATAGTTTAGTTTCAGAACGCTATTGGCTGTGTAATGATTAGGAGAACCTTTTCGAGTTAAACATTTGATAGCCTCAGTACTTATACTGAAGTCTTTAAAAGTTGTATTCTACCAGAAGAAGATGTCTAATCTCCTACAAGCTTCAAAATTTTTGTGTGGTCTTGAAGAAGATTTATTTCATCAAGAAAATGTACCGCTCCCTCGAATGAACGGTTTTGCAAAGTGCAATTCGTATTCGCTCCCTCGAAAACCAACACTGTTCTGCAGAAAATAATCACTATAAAAATAATGGAAAGTTTAAATAATTTAGATCTCGTTTAATTTCCAAATTGGCTATAGCAATACCACGTCACTAAAATTCGTAACGATGAATGAAATGGTTTTGTTATGATTGCCAAAGACTGGCAAAACGGGCAATGTCACACAACTAGGAAAACTAGAACATTCATCTGAAATAAGTTTAATGGCAGTTTGACTTTCTAATGTGAATTAATATCCTTGTTTTCCTGTAATTTATGTGTTGTAAACATGCAAAAATTTACCAATAAAAGTAAGTATTAATATGTATATGTTACTGTGAAACACCGAAATCTGGAGAATGTCGACTTTCACCGGTGAATGTCAACATTACCATAGTCCCTTGGTATATGTCCGAAATAATTTCCAAACACTCTTATTTCTGACTTTCACCGGTAAATGTCAACATTTACCATGTACTAATGGTGAATATTGAACATATAAGAATATTGCATTTTCTTCTCAGTAATTCGGTAAAAAAAAAAAAAAAAAAAAAAAAAAAAAAAAGCACTTGAAACTTAAAATAAGGACTTAAGAACATAATAACTTAAAACAAAAAGTACATTCAAAATGAGAAAGGAAAATAATAGAAGTTAAAAACTTACTAAATTATGTGATTCAAATCTTATTTATTGCAACAACTTAAATTGTTATGACACTTTGAATTGCACAAGAAGCCCTTGCTTTTACAACTGCATTTATTTGTGAAATACTTCCTTTTGCAATGACAGCGTGTACATAATATACTCCTCTCTTTTCGACCTACAATCAGAGCATATCTGTGATTGTCGACATGCACAAGTGAGGCTCCGAATGAACAAGAATGTAATGCAAAATTCAATCTTTCACCGACGCATTTGGTGAATGTTGAAATTCTCCGGTGAAAGTCGACATTCTCCAATTTCGGTGTTTCACGGTAACATATGTATATTATATAAATAAATTACGATACTACGAAGACTACAAGAGAATGTCTGTGTTGACTAATGACTGGTAGTAGACTTAAGAGTGAAAACATTATAGCTGGAGAG